CTTCAAAGGTTCTGCCAAACAGTTGACGCACATTACACACCTTCTTAGAAATAATATATTTACGTCACTGTTCCAATGACATTCTGAACTGTTCTAAAAAAGTCCTTTTACAGACTGACCCACATCATTTTACCTCATTGTTGAAATCCAAATCCCAAAATATGTTATACACGTTTCATCATACCATAGGTACCCACCACATTTTGGTCAAAGATTTTTTGAGCTTTTCTCCTCCTCTCCACTCACAGCGAGACAGATAATTCACTCAGTGTCCTGCTACTTTCAGTTCTGTTCCTAAACATTCCTACCCATCCCCCTATTCAATGTCTGAAAGGGCCTCCTCAAACCTATACCTTTAATCTTATTTTTACTCACCTCTCCTAAATTCTCTCCCTCCTCCTGTAATCCCACCCAGATGACTGGCAGATTTTACTTTGGGGAAGGTAATATACATGTTAGAGGTTGTCAGATCAGGCATTCAGCACGACTGTCACAAACAGATGACTAAGGTATACAGCGATCAGTATTCTGCCCAAGTGACTTGGTGGAGAGAAAGCGTCTTCAGGGGTCACCAACTCAGGATGATATCGCTGGGCACTTAAGCTTATGGTCAACAATGACCTCCAGTTGGGGACATTGCAAATGTGCTGCCATTGAAAGTTGGATACATAAGAGCATTTCTCTTTGGAAATGGTCAATGTCTGACACTTGCATAGCACAAAACTCACCTACCACTTGTTAACTCTCGGCTAGTCACTGTGTATGGCCCACTATAGTTTGTCAAGGGTTGTTTATTTCGCAGCAGAGTCCAAAGATGTGCAGGCTAGGTGGATTGACCATGCTAAATTGCCCATAGTGTTCAGGGATGTGTAGATTAGGTTGGTTATAGAGGGAATGGGTGTGGATGGGATGCTCTGATAGTCAGTGTGGACTTGTTGGGCCAAAGGTCTTGTTGCCACACTGTAGGGATTTTATGATTATATTTGAATGGAATTAACAACTGAAACCTAGTGAATTACATGATTCCTGGCTGAAACTTCATCAATGAAGTTGTTGCTGGTATCAAGTGACTGCTAGGATAGCAGGTTTGTTACATGAGGAGAGATTGGTCAACTGGAGTATCCACTGGAATTCAGAAGAATGACCTTATTGAAATAAAATTCTAATAGGGTTAGATAGACTGGATGCAGGAATGATGTGGCCCCTGGCCAGGGGATCCAGAACAAGGGGTCACAGCCTCAGCATATGCCACAGGCTGTTTTGAACTGATGTGGAGGTGCCAGTGTTGAACTGGGATAGACAAAGTCAGAAGTCACACTATACCAGGTTATTGTCCAACAGGTTTACTTCACCTGACGAAGGAGCAGCAGTCTGAAAACTTGTGATTTCAAATAAACCTGTTGGACTATAATCTGGTGTTGTGTGACTTCTGACTTTGTTTTGAACCGAGATGAGGAGAAATTCCTACACTTAGGAGTGTGGTAAACATGTGGAATTCTCCACAACAGAACTTGTGCAGGCCAGGTCACTGAATAGATTCAAGAAAGCACAGGTAGATTGAGAGCTAACAGTGTCAGGAGGCATTGGAAGAACACAGCAGTATGACATTGAGATTGATGATCAGCCTTGATCATGATGAAAGGCAGACTGGGCTTGATGGCCAAACGGTTTACTCCTGCCCTATTTTTCTGTGTTTGCTTACACGAAGGATGGTTTTGTTAGGATCTCCAACTGCAATGTCATGGACCTCATAATTGACCTCTGGAACCCATAATCACCTTCCAAGACAGTTACTGCTCCAGCCACTGAATTTACATTACTCGTACTGTTGTTTGGGCTCCTTGGTTCTATATTCAGTCAAATTCCATGGTGATGTCAAGAGCAGATTTTCTTACCTCGGCTGTAATGTTCAATTCTTTTGTGTATTTTTCAGGTCAGAAACAAATTGGTAGTGGCAGAAATTAAACTTGGTTTCAGCAAGGTTATGGAAGAGTAGATATAGGGTGACTCTTCCAGATTCAAAATGTGAACTCTTTTTCTCTCCATAGATGGTGCCGGACCAGTTGATTTTTCTCCAATACTTCCTGATTTTTTTTTCCAGCATCTGTGATATTTTGCTTTCAAGTGCAACAATCTTCAGACAGAAATGCATCAAAAGATCTATCTTTGTTTCCTCTGGAGGTATCCAGCATCACAGATGCCAGTCTTCAGCCAATTCAATTTAATCCATGCAATAACAGTTGACGGTACTAAATACTGTAAATACCTTTACAATATTCTAGCAATAGACCTGAAGGACGTGTGATTTAAAATTTGCTGTGCTCCCAACCATGACATTCCAGTACAGCTGCAACACTGGCATCTCCCTGACAATGTGAAAAATTCCCCAGATACATTCTGTACACTAAAAGCAGGACAAATTGTTTATTCTCATTCATCAGTAAAAGCAATAGAAGGGAACATCAACAGTGCTAAAACACAGCACTTATTTAACAATAGGCTGTTCACTGCCTTTATGTTTGGGTTCTGCTAGCACCACTCAGCTCTTGAACTCAGAGTCTTAGTTCAAGCGTGGACACAAGCTGAACTCTACAGACAAGGAGAGCGTGATGGCTCACAATACCAAGGCCACATTTAGAGAGTGACACCAATGGACCCTAGTCAAAGGAAACTGGAGGAAATCTCTTTGGTGGTTAGAGTCATACCTGGCATAAAGGAAGATGGTTTTGGTAACTGGAGGTCAGTCAACTTAGCTCCAGTACATTGATGGTAGAATCCCAGGCCCAAGTATCTTTAGCTGCTTCATCAATGACTTCCTTTCATCATAAGGTCATAAGTGGAGGCATTCACTGATAATTACAGAACATGAAGCATCATTTAAAGCTCTTCAGATACGGAAATAGTTCATGTCCAAACGCATAAACTGAACAAGATCCAGGCCTAGACTGACAAGTGGAGAGTAACATTTTGCATCTCAGAGGTGCCTGGCAATCACTATGTCCAACAAAAGAGCATCTAACCATTGCTCCTTGATGTTCAATGGCATTATCATCCCTGAATCCCCCACTTTCAACATCATTAAGCAGAAACTGGACAGCACCAATCATACAAATACTGTGGCTACAAGAGCAGGTCAAAGGTTAGGATTTTTTTTTGAGTATCTCACCTCAACTCTCTAAAGCCAGTCTACCACATGCAAAGCACAAGTCAGGAGTGAGACGGAATACTCACCGCTCTCCAGTAACAATCAAGGAGCTTGACACCATTCAGGATACATTCACTGCAGAAATGTTCCAAGGTTCCTTAGACAACACCTTTCAAATCAATAACCATTACCATTTAGAAAGTCAAGGAAAGCAGATACACAGGAACATCACTTGCAAACTCCCCTCTAAGTCACTCACTATCCTTAATTAGAAATATATCACTGTTCCCTCACTGTTACTGTGTCAAACTCCTGGAACACCTCCCCTAACAGGGTCCCTCCCTACACCAAATGAACTGCAGCAGTTTAAAAAAGCAACTCACAATCACTTTTAAAAGGGCAATAAATGCTGACCCAACCAGTGAAGTTCTATCCCTGAAAAGTTGTCAAGATTTAATTTTGCCTGGATTTCTATGCATTAGGCATAGCTGGGAAATTTTCCACAGCTGCAATGGAATAGCCTGGCTAGGAGGCCAGAAAATTGCATTATGAAGGGGCAGGTGGGGCTAACTGCAATTCAACTAAACACAATTAATACAAAACTATCAACGTGGTGGTGTACGATTATACACCTTGTACTTTAAATTGAAGAAACTTCAGAACAATTTCCTACCTTCACATAAACATTCAGGTTTATACATATTATGAATATAATTCATATTAAGTTTGACTTTTTTGGATTTTGAAGCAGTGACATGAGCTTTTGTGCGTCTCTGAAGGAATTAGGAATTAAATTGTGGATGTTTCTGCAGCCATGGTCTTTTTTTTAAAAAAGTTTCTGAGGGCTAGTTTTCAGAACTAATGGGTTTTTATTTACTTTAGCAGGATTTATGGCCGAGTGAAGTAAGCAATTATGCTTTAAGATTTCAGCCAGAACTTTTTGGACTTTATTGAGCTCAGAGAAACACTCAGTTTTGGGCAGTTCAGAAGAAGTTTTCACATGCAAAATTGCTCCTGCAAAAGTGAGAAGATAGATTTGTTAATGCTAGATTAAGAGTAAGGAGTTAGTAATAGCCTGAAAGAGTAAGGAGTTAGTAATAGTCTGAAATCTAAGTGTTTGGGTAAAACCCTGAAGAAGTTATTTGAATCAGGGAGCATGTAAGCTCAGGTGTATGACAGCTCCAAGAAGAATCTACCTAATTTTCCAGACTAGGAGGTGAAGTCAAATTAAATCCATCAAGGCATCGGAGAAAAAGAGATTTTCTGATACGAGTCCTGTACAAGGGGTGCTTTTGGGTACTCTACAGTTGTGTTTGGGATCTGCAATCGAGTGTTTTGAGGATTAATGAGATTATATTTCACTGTGTTTCAAAATCTTTCAATTTATGTTACAAGTTAATAACCTACTTTATTCTATTTTATCTTCATTCCTTTTGCTTAATAAACTTTGAGTTAAAAAATAAATTAACAACATATCCATAGAACCCCTACAGTGGGGAAACAGGCCCTTCAGCCCAACAAGTCTACACTGACCCTTAGAGCATTCTACCCAGACCCATTCCCCAAACCCACCTAACCTACACATCCCTGAACACTATGGGCAATTTAGCATGGCCAGTCCACATAGCCTGCACATCTTTTGACTGTGGGAGGAAACCGGAGCACCCGGAGGAAACCCACGCAGACATGGGGAGACAGTTGCCCAAGGGGGAATCGAACCCGGGCCTCTGGTGCTGTGAGGCAACAGTGCTAACCACTGAGCCACCGTGCCGCCCTAAATAGAAAGTAGAGACTGCACCTCAAGCCTCCAATGCAGACGCAAAGCATGCAACTAGCGGCAAGGATCCGACGCACTTGGTCAGCATGGGGATCGAGCCCATGACCTTGGCGTTATTAGCACCACACTCTAACCAACTGAGTTAACTGACCGCCACATCTCGTCCTTACGTTTCAATGAAAGACAACCTTGTTAAAGTCAAAATAAAATATGATCTAGCCAGCCAGGTTTCAGTCTGGGATCTGATTTGTCCAGGAGTAACATCAGCTGGGATCATAATACTTCACAAGATCTCAAATTTTCAACTAAATTTCAACTGAAAGTCATAATTCGACTTCAATTTTCAGCAAGAAACTCTACTTTTAGGTATAGAAAGGAATATTCTTAAATACAGAATATTCTTGAATACATAATATAAGGTATAGGATGAATTATAGCTTTTCACACATCAACACAACCAAGCTTAGACGAAATTGTAATTAATGTCAATTCTAATATTCTAATATAAAACCAGCAAATCCTCAGTTTTCCACAAAAGAACTAAAATTCTCTCACTGAAACAATGCTCTTCCCGTCTTTGTGGAACTGATTTGCCATTTGTGGTTGCTGGAAGCTCAGCAGGTCTGGCAGCATTTATGAAGAAAAAATCAGAGTTAACATTTTGGGTCCAGGTGACCCTTCCTCAGAACTCAGACCCAAAACGTTAACTCTGATTTTTTCTTCACAGATGCAGCCAGATCTGCTAAGTTTCCAGCAACTCCTGTTTTTGTTCCTGATTTACAGCATTTGCATTCTTTGTTTTTATTTGCCATTTGTGGTGTTAAGTTTTCTTACCACTTATAGAGGCCATTGCTTTAATTCCCTGCATAACATAACTTTTGAGGAAATGTTAAAGGCAAATACAGACTGCATTACAAGTTGAAATGTGGCACAAATGGTTGACCTACTGGCCAGCAAAGGCAAAAGGTAAAACCCATATAAGCAGAGTGCAAAAATCAGACAAACAGGAGATTTCCTTTCCTTTGTCTCACAAATATGCCTTCTTTTTAAACATGCTATTTCATGAGTTACCAACTGGTGTTTTGGAATACGTCCCACATTCAGGAACCTGAGCAGATGTTAGATAAAACTAAATTTAAAGACGAACAAATCGCCTTACTGACCCACGGGGAAACAACTGCATTTGAATTATTTGCGGTAATTCTGATAAGATTTTATTCATTACTTGTTGAGGAATAATGGCCAGAAAACGAACATAGTGGAAGGTGATGGATAGCAATTGATTTGCTTTTAACTAGTTTTTTTCTGATTCCCAGAACAATTGACATTTGCTTGTTGCATCATGTTATTTGTAGCAAATAACTTACCATAGTTATTTTTCAGTTTAATTAGAATTATGAAAAATAAATTGTTTTAAGGCAGCGGACTAGTCAAAAAGATCAAAATCTCATAAATTGACCTAAGGAAGTCAGTTTTCTATAATTGGAAATATAGTTCCGTTCTTGGCTTTTGCTGCTTAAAGCTAGTGGATAAGCAGTACCAGCTGTCCAGGAAATACCATAATACTTAACACAAGACTGTATGGTGGGAAAAGAGATTTTGGTCCAATAGTTTAGTCACTACATGCAACAGTGATCTTTAACCATTCACGGTACCCATGTCCTTAACATGCACTGCTCCACTCATGTTTTCTTGGCAATTCTGGTTCTGTCAAGCAGATGCTGTTTAAAAAGGGCAAAACTGAATACAGAATATTGATGCACAGAAATAAAAATCCATCATAACAAAATGGAGGTGCACAGTGGATTGAAGATATCATAAAGGGTTTTGGAGTAAATAAAGAAAAACTGTTCCCAGTGGATGAACGGTTGGTAATCAGAAGGCACTTTAGAGTGATTAGCAAAAGAATCTCACTCAAGATAAGGAAAGTCCACAGAGGCCTGACAGGCTGGGACATATAGATTCAACAGTAGCAAGGCTGTTGACTTGCTGGCCGAGCTGGCTTGTTCTCATTCAGATGTTCCATCATCATGCTAGGTGACATCATCAGTGGAGCCGCTGATGAAGCGCTGTTATTCCACTCCGCTTGGAATTTATATTGTCCTGTCCGTTATGGTGAGTAGTGTCATTTCTGGTTTTGATCTGTATGGGTTTGTATATGGAGTCCAATTCTATATGTTTGTTGATTGCATTACAGGTGGAGAACCATGCCTCTAGGAATTCCCATGCGTGCGTGTGTATGTTTGGCTTGGGCTGCTATGGTTACCTTGTCCCAGTTAAACCGATGGCCTTCATTGACTGTCTGTCCGACGTAATGTTTGTGGCAGCCGTATTTTGTAAACCACGCGCGTTCCGCATGTTGTGGGAATAGGGTCTTTAATCCTTTTGAGTGTTTGTCATAGAGTGGCTGTGGGCTTGTGTGCTACCATGATTCTTAGTGGTCTTAGGAATCTTGTTGTAAGTTCTGATATGTTCTTGATGTAGGGCAGTGTGGCCAGTGTGTTAGGTCGTACTGTGTCCTCCTGTTGTTGTCTATTTAGTAGGCATCTGTGGATGAAGCTGCGGGGATATCTGTTTATAGCGAGGACTTTGTACAGGTGCTCTTCCTCTTTCCTGCGTAGTTCCAGAGTGTTGCAGTGTGTCCTGGCCCATTTAAATAGTGTCTTAATGCAGCTTTGTTTGTGGACATTGGGGTGGTTGCTGTGGAAGTTAAGGATTTGATCAGTGTGGGTTGCTTTTCTTTATACTGAGGTTTGAAACACCCCATTAGTCATACACTCAACTTTAACATCCAGTAACGCAAGTTGATTGTTATTTCTTCTTCCCTTGTGAAGTTAATCCCTGCGAATATGCTGTTGATGAGGTGGTCAGTCTCTTCTAATTTGTTGCGTTTAATAATGACAAATGTCTTGACTACGTACCACATCCACAGATTAGGTTGAATGCAGGGGAGGGTGGTGTGTTCTAGTCTTTGCATGACTGCTTCTGTAATGAGTCCTGAGATGGGTGACCCCATTGGTGTACCGTTGATCTATTTGTATACTTGACCATTAAAGACAAAAAGTGTGTGGTGAAGCAGAGGTCTAATAGTTTAAGTATGTTGTCAATGCTGATTGAACTGCTAATCTGCGTGGCTGCTCTAGTAATGTGGCCACTGTTTCTTTGGCTAGTGGGATGTTGATTGATGTGAATAAAGCTGTGACGTCAAAGGATACCATAATCTTGTTGTCACTGATTTTTATGCTCTTGAGAGTATTGAGGAAATCTTGGGTTGAGTGGATGGAATGGGGTGATCTGTCAACTAGGTGTTTCAATCTCTGTTGTAGGTCCTTGGCCAGTTTGTGTGAAGATGTGTCTGGTAGGAAAGCAATGGGTCTGAGGGGGATAGGACACTATTATAAAAGGACCAGGACACACTGCAACACTCCAGAACTACTACAGTGTCACAATGACACCACCCGGAAACTGGAGGAGCAGCACCTCATATTCCACCTTGGCAGCCTACAACCCAATGGTCTCAATGTGGACTTTATCAGTTTCAAAATCTCCCCAGCCCCAGTCTCAACCTGTGACCAACCCTCCCTCTCATCCCCGCCTCCTTGACCTGACACAACCTGCCCATCTTCTCTCCCACCCATCCCACTGACCAATCCTTAGCACTCCCTACCTGCACTCACCTAACACCATCCCACCTACCTTCCCCAGCCCCACCCCTCCTCTCTATTTATTTCGGAGCTCCCTGTCCCCTCCCCCATTTCTGAAGAAGAGTCTCAACCCGAAACATCAACTTTCCTGCTCCTCTGATGCTGCCTGGCCTGATGTGCTCCTCCAGCTCCAGTGTGTTATCTCTGACTCCAGCATCAGCAATTCTTACTATCCCAGTTCTTTGAAAGAGTTGGACCCAGAATCAATTTACCATATTATTCTACATTTCCTTCATATCAAATGACAATATGCTGCATTCAAGATTTTGCCTTCAGTACCATTTGATCAGTGAGTATTTGATCAGTGAGTTTTTGATCACATCTACTCACTCATGCATCATAGGATATTGGTGAGGCCACTTTTGGAGTATTGTGTACAGTTATGGTCGCCCTGCTATAAGGATATAATTAAAATAGACAGGGTTCAGGAAAGAATTACCAGGATGTTGTCAGGTTGTAGATGCAGGTACAGTTACAACATTTAAAGGACATTTAGATAGGTACATGAATAGGAAAGGCTTAGAGGGATACAGGCCAAATGCAGGCAAGTGGAGTGAGTTGAGTTTGGGAAACTTGGTGGGCACGAAAAAGTGTCTGTTTCCTTGCTCTATGATTCTATGACTCTGAAATGTATATCTATAATAGACACAGTAGGATATCTCAATCTCCATTGTTGGTCAATGGTAGGTTATTAAATTTCAGACAACTGGCTGTGGCAGACACAACCATGGGACTCAGTTCAGAATTCCATGTCTGATTACCACCTACATTCACTGTGGAAAACTGTATGTGTGGGCAAGAAATGAGAACAGGGTCAGGCTTTGTTGTGACATTGCATACACTTTAATGGCCTGCCTGCACTTACCACCCAAGTTCATCAGTTGTCACCTGAGAGGTCATCAACACAAGTCTCGGAGGCAACTTGGCGAAGTCTGACTTTGAACAAGATGGAAAACTTATGAACAACACAAACAATCAGAACTCTTACTACAAGGAGAGCCAATCAGAAACGATACTCAAAAAATGGTTCAGCTCATGTTAAATGTTTTCTTCTGCAATTGCCACCTTCCATATCTAAAGGCCATCAATAATCAACACAACTATAGCAGAAATCCTCAACATATGAACTTACATTTTCCACTCAATGTTAGTTTAGCCCTGATAATAATTCATTCCAAACAAACAGGTCAACACTTGTATTAAAATAATGGACGGAGAATGCAAATCACAGAGCTTTAAAGCTCAGAAACAAAACCCACTGGTCCAAACCATCTGTGCTGACCAGTTATCCTAAACTGATCGAGTCCCATTTGCCAGCATTTGGCCATATCCCTTTAACCCCTTCCCATTCATGTACCCACCCGATGCCATATATATGTTGTAACTGTACCTGCCTCAACCATCTCCTCTGGCATCTAGTTCTATACACACACTACCCTCTGCATGAA